ATTTGATGAACTTATATCAAATAACGTTTTTTCGTTTATATAAAAATGTTTACTGAGTTTACTGAGTTATATTTAACTACTGAGTTTTCGTTTTTATAAAAAAATCGAAAACTCAGTAGTCGGTCCCTAAATTAAAAGGCAATAAACAAATAAAATGCGTGTAATGAATAATTTTAACATAAAATAAACATTTTACATCATTACATAAAATCCACCAGAAATTACATCAAATTCATAGGAAACTTACTGAAATCTCGAATACGTTTTTATACGAAAAAAATTGCAACAGCGACTCGTCCAGACTTGTCTGGACACTAGTTTCCGACATGAAAAGTTGAGCTTATTTTATATTATTTCATTCAAGTCATCGAACAGTTGCCATACAGATGCATTCGTGTCCATATGCCATAGTATTCGGAGAATGCAGAGATACGCTCACACGAACTTGTCAGCTTTTTTAATGCTTTGCTGTAAAACTATTCAACACTTTCAGTTGATCTCAGTATAGTATCTTGTAGTAGCAGCTATTTGTCATTTTTATAGTTCACCAGATCTGATAATTAGATACAACGGTAATAGTATATTACATAACGAGAGTTGTAAGAAGCTTATTACATGCGAGTAAAAAAGTTGCGTGCGAGCCGCGTAGCGGCAAGCGCAGTAATTTTACAAGCATGTAATAAGCTTACAACCCAAGTTGTGTACTATACTTTTTCTACCATTATTTTCGTTTATAAAAATAAAAATTAAATTACCACTATATTTACACTGACAGATTAATAATTTTTAATCTGTCAAAATAACGTCTGTTAATTCGTTTCCGTGGTAACTCGACCAACTGACTTACGAGGCTTATGTGATATTCATCGAGCAATAAGACAAAAGAGGGAATCTAATCCTTCTGAAAAGGAGACCAAAAAAGTTGCCTCTGATGGCGGACATATCCGGAAATGCGAATGCGCCAAATTTAAATTTTCCGACACTTATCAACAGTAGCTATATAATATTTTTCAGAATGTGTCTTAGACGAGAAAGTTTTAATTAATTATTAATGATAAGAGTCTAAAATGCGACACAATTGTTAAAAAAACTTCAATATAAATAAGATTTCATGTGACATTTGGGACAAACAATAACATAACCCAACTAAATTTGATGTCAAACAAGGAGAGAGACTCTCTTTCCTTTTTTAATGTGGCCTCTAAATATCGCACTTCCTGTCTAACAATATGTTTGCCCCCACTACCTTTACATTCCGTCTTTTTGCTCGATGGTGATATTACACATTTTTATAAAACTGAAGCGTAATTTTTTTTATTACGTGCTAGTCATTACGTGTCAGTATCTGTTATGATGCATTTACATCCAAATAGTAGGTAATATACAATTTACTATACTACGTTCCACGTTTAGAAAATAACATTGCGGAGATAGGGCCATGTATTTCTTATGGACGATAGCAACGCGGCGTTGCCACGACACACACAAGCACAATTTAGGGTTGTATAATTTGTATTTTTGTTTCCACAAACATGAATTAAATTAAGGTTTTTTAACGTAATTGACCAAAAGTGCCCATTCGAAACAAGAGATGAAAAGTAGGGAAAATGATTTTAATTAGATAAATAGTATTTACAAAAAATAATTTTATTTTATCTTATTTTAATTATAGTAACGACAGTTTATTTGTTTTTCGCTGAGAACACGAATCATAGAAATCAGTAGAAAATATTGACCGCTTGGAATGCGTATATCTAATTACTAATTGCAACTTAAAATAATACGATGTGCGTATGTCAGCTATTTTATGTCGTTCTCTGACTACATAATGATAATAAGGCTTTTATTTAGTAGTTATTCTGACTTTACAATTAAATGTTAATTGAAAATGAAAATGCAAAGGGAATATCTTGGACATCCGTGCAAAAGAGAGTAATTACTATTTATAACTGGGAATAAGCCACAATTAAAGATAAAAATACGTTTATTGACGTTTCAATTTCCAATTCGGAAATCGTTCTCAAAATACAAACAGTAAATTGTTTTAATAATTTTTAATGTAAATTCTCAAAAGAGAGTGTCTGAGAGTTTTGGCAACACTGATCTCCATAAGCGTAATGTTATTTTCTTAACTTGAAACAAAGAATAGTAAGAGAGTAGAAAAAAATTGTTTAACAATCATAACGCTTCAATCGGGCCAGCGCTGCCCTGGATTATGCTATTTTAAATCATTTATCACTCTCTCCATGCGATACATACTTTGGTGAATATTAAAAAGTGAGAGCTATTTATATTCTTTTGTAACGAAATTTCTCTATTGTAAACTAAAATAAGTATTTAATTAAGGTATTTGAATTGGAAGGAACAGCTTATTATGTTTATTTTACTTCCGATACGAACAAGTTGACGTTTTCCATGACGTATGTTTGAATTATTTATTGACTTAGCTTTTCAAAAGTTAACTGTTTATAGTTACTATAGAATTTCCATACTAAATCCGTTCCACCTTATCGATCAGCTGTTTCAAGTGTATGTCGTCACGGCTATACAACTATTATAGAGCAAATTAAAGAGGATTATTTTGGTATTATTGATACTTCTTGCTTTTGATTTTGTGAAGTATAATATATTCTTTTTATAAAATACCCCGGCACTTTTCACAAACGACTCCGCAACAGAGAAATATATTATTAATATAGATTAAAAAATTATAAGAGACAGCATAGTATCTATAATATTAAAATGTTCCATTAAATTCTGTTATGTTTGAGGTTAGGTGTTTTCACATAACGTCATTCATCTAACATTAAATTTAAATTTGAACACACCGCTGTCTTTTTTGGAATGCAAATAAAAAACTGCAAGCTATAGTTAGAATTACAAAGAATTTATTTCCAAGAAATTTGATATTTTCTTTCTTGGGTAGAATGTCTGAGAATTGAGATAATGATTAAATGACGGGTTTCTGTTGTTTGTTAATTTAATGGGATAATTGTTGGACGAACTTTTGTAATTATAAATAAAAAGTAATAGAAAAATGCTGTCTGTTAATTGACAATTACTATGCATTAATGTTGTTTATCTTGAGGCAACGGCCAGTTGTAAAATTGGATGTGATGTTATATTTTTTAGCCTTTTTAACGAATGTAACTTCTGCAAGCGCGATGGAAACTTATAATATGTGAAATAATTGAGCTTTTTAACTTCTCTTTAGTTATTTTTTAATCCTTGTCACGTTTTAACGCTTTTTCTTCTACTTGTGTAGCAGATTGCCTATTTTTTCTTCGACGTTAACTCCTACAACTATTCTGTTCTCTTTCATTCGACTGATATTGCTGTTCATCTCTTTTTTTCTTTCTTGCGTCCATTCAGTAATCTTGTTTATTCTGCATAGGTCTCTAATCTCATTATTCCTTGTTCTTTGTAGTGTTGTTTTCAGGTTATTCTTCTTAGGATTCTAATTTCAACAAGAGAAATCATATGATTTCCTACCTGGCGAAACTGAATCTAATACCGTCATTATGTGTTATGATTCTAATTTGATTTTTCTCTAAATATCTTTTTATCGTGTCTTTGTCTGGTCTTGTTTCTCCGAAATATGTGTAGTCTAGGGGGAGAAATGACTACTAACATGTCTTTCTGCCTCGTACGCTCTGTAAGGGGATTCGTGTATTGAAGGCAAAGGCTTCTTCTCAACAAAGACTAGCTAATTTCTTACAATGCAAATAACACAACCTTTTTGACTCATCCTATTTGAGTATTCATGTTACCTAGCACTATGTCTTCTAGATCTTCGAAGAACTGGTCTTCCGGTTTGTCATCAATCGGGCAAGTGCGTTAATCAAACTGTAATTAAAGAATTTCCCTTCTAAGCGCAACTAGCACATTCTTTGGCTGTAGGCTTTAAAATTAATAACAAACTGTTTGGTTCTCTGGCTTATAATGAACGCCATTCATCTATATGTTGAACTCATTGCAGCTATACGAGGGTGGATTTATATAAAACTAGCCTTTGATAGAAAAAACAAGTTTTTTGAAATTTGAGTCAATGTGTATGATGCCCTTCGCATCCCAGAAAACAGTCGCCATCACTTTGCCGGCCGAATGTGCATTCTTTACCTTCTTCGACGGCCCTTCGCCTCGTTTGCGCCACTGTTTCGACTGTTCTTTGGTTTCCGGTGTGTAATAATGCACCCAGGTTTCATCAACGGTGATAAATGGGCGAAAAAAATCGTTCGGATCGCCCCGTATCAACGACAAAAGCGTCTCCAAAGCGGTCACACGTTTTTGTATTTGATCAATTGTCAGCAAACGCGGCACCCATTGCGCGGATACCTTTTTCATGTTAAAATGATGTTGAATGATGATGTGTATGCGTTTGTAGGAAATGTTTAGGACCCGCGGGGCTTAATTCGACGATCTGCCATAATCATGTCATGGACTTTGTTGATCATTTTCGGCGTGGTGACTTCATTTGGCCTCCCGGGACGCTAATCATCAAAATTTTACTGTTGCTAACGAAGGTGCAACCTCACCATAAACTTCGTCCAGCTCGGCTTTGATTTGCACATTTATTTTACCCTCTTTGTGGAGGAACTTAATCACCGAACGATACACGACTTTTTGCATTTCTCCGAAAACACAAAATTTGCTTGATTTTGACGGCTATAAAATCCAAACTAATTGTTTTTAAAACTTAAAATTTTGACAGACGTCATATCATGAATGGCAAATGTCAACGCCGAAACCAATTCGGTATCAAGTAGCGCCATCTATGAAAGGCTAGTTTAATATCAATCCTTCCTCGTAATAAACGTCATGCCGTGTCTAAGGTTAGCAGTTCCCGTCCATCGCATTTCCTGCAGTACTAATATTACTAATATGTATCAGATATCTTATTAGCTTCAAAAAAGAACAACAGTTTTATATAAAAGCCATTTATTTGAATAATTATTTTTTGTAGCTATAGCATTATTAAAGATCATATATTTTATTTTCAGAAATAAGTGCAATAATGAGAAGCGTCGCCGAGAACAAGAAAACATCTACATAGAGGAATTGGCTGAGCTGATTTCGGCAAATTTCGGGGACATGAGCTCGTTGTCGGTGAAGCCGGATAAGTGCGCCATTCTACAAGAAGCTGTTAACCAAATAAGAAGTATAAAGCAGCAGGAAAGCGCTACCCAATCTTCGGATCCCGTCCAACAAGGGGAGGTTTCGTCTTCCAGGCCGACGATACTCTCCAACGACGTTTATGGTCCTTTATTGCTGGAGGCTTTGGAAGGGTTCCTGTTTGTCATTAATAGTGAAGGCAAGGTACGTATTATTTGTTTCTACAGTTAAAATCAGTAAGCTATTTATCATTATCCTTGTCATTTTTAAGCATATCTTTACGTTAGAAGTACGTACGCTTTTGGTAATGTAAACTTTTATTTGTATAAATCACAAAATATAAACAATGTTTATGACTGAGCACCTTCAGCTGAGGAAACACCTCTACAACATAGCTAAGATGAACGAGATTTTCACCGGGCAGGAAAAGCGACGTGGTGAAATACACTGCCATGAATGTCCGTTGTGAATGTCAAATATTGTGATATAATAAGCCAGATCTTTTTAGGGTGCCTATCCGTTTCGAACGTTGGCAGTCATTCTGGCTATATTGAGGTCTTCCTATGCTATGCTCGCAAGTTAGCAAGCCAGAATATTCTTCTTCATCCTGGGGCCCTTTTTCCTTCAATTTTACCCCGCAAAATGCATTGGAATAGCTCAAATCTCATCTGATAAGCCAGATATACACTGTCATAATGAGTTTTGAGTTGGAAGAGATCCTTAAATTCCCGGTAAGAAAGTGGTTGGGTTCATCAAGAGAACGGGACTTATTGGTGGAGTTTTTTATTGAATAGGCAGAGTTTACTACACTGACTAGCGCCGAAGACCGGAACACTTCCACTTCTGCTTAGAAACCTTTTTCTTTGGAAATTCTTTCCCAAAGAAAATATTTACGTATAATACTAAATCTAATATCTCTGTGTAATTTTTTTACAATGTATATTGACGTTCTTCAAAATTACAACGGTGATTTGATATTTAGAAGTAAAAAAATAATAATCATTCAAATATTCGGTATAGATTATAACAATTTTCTTCACTCGTTACTGCCCCACCTTCTGCCACAGTTTTAATGTTATGACTCTCGATCATATACCAAATCAACATAAATTCGAATTGTAGCATAGGCTTTATTAATTGGTTTATCGTGACCGAGCCGAGTGTTTCACCAGTATTCCTCTGTGTTCTATTGTAATCATTCGAATCAGCCGAATCAATCTTGTAACTAATAACTTTCCTTCACATTTCTCACGTTTCAGTGTCAAACAGAATCCTATTAATCTAGTTACGTCTATACCGACGTTCGTACATTGTTTTCATATGAACAATATTAGGTTAAGGACACGGGGGACGTTAGAAACTATGAAAATCTTTTAAAATTAAAAATGAAAATGACTAAATGTAATGTAATTTATGAATTAGGGATGATTTATTTTATTATTATATATATATATATATATATATATATATATATATATATATATATATATATAATATAGTGTGTATAACGAACAATTCTTTGGATGGTAACTTTCGGGAAAGCGTCAAAACAAGGATCAGCTAGAGATGGTATAAGCCAGTTTGGTGTAGATCTTTATTCTAAATGTGAAATTTTCGGTGATATGTTGTCACCTTCATCAGCACCTAAATGGAAAACCTATTTTAGTACAAGTGGTGGAAATCAATATTTAAAAACCTACATTGAAAATGTTCAGGTGGTCCTAGTGGTGAAGAACACTGTCACAAACATGTTAAGAACACATTTAGAATAAAGTTCTACACCAAACTGGCTTATACCATCTCTAGCTGATCCTTGTTTTGATGCTTTCCCGAAAGTTACCCTCCAATATATATATATATATATATATATATATATTATATATATATATATATATATGTATAGGTATAGGTATGTAAAAATTATCTGACAGGGCATTAAGACAATGCAAAGAACCGAGAAAAATATTATATGGACTTGTATATGTCCAAGAGAATAACATGTAACCACATGTCTGTGATAGACCCGTAAGCTCTATTGGTAGTCTTATCTGTACATTGTTGTGTTTTGTTTTACCATATTTTTTAGGTTTAGATTTGATTTCATTTAATGTTTTTGAAGTTTATTTAGGTTAATTTTTTAATAAAAATTATGTTTTTAAAAATTTTGTATGTATTTTCTGGTGAAAATTATTTACAAATGAACGTAATGTTATAAAAAGTCATATAAATAGACCTTTGGCATTAGATAATCTAAAAAACAACAAATTTGTCATCTTTATGGTATTTCTAGCGTTTTCTACCGTATTTTTCAAGTTCGCCGTACCGCAAAATTGTTCATGTCACCTGGCAACACTGATTGTTACTGTTTCTTTTTGAGCAATCTTTTACTAGGAGAGAATACAAGAGCGTCTATCTTTTTAGGGGAACCAAATTAAGAGAGGTCGAAAAACACGTCTATTATCTATGGGAACCATTGTCAGGGGACACGAAAATCGCCTCTGTCAATGAGTGTCCTAGGAAGGGTGTTTTTTCACTAATTTCCCTGGTCTATAAATACAATTTAATTAGGTGTTGCCGTTTGCAGAAGGAGAATCTTTTGCGTTTATGTATCAGCTCCTTTTAATAGGATCTTCTTCTTCTTAACGTGCTTCATTCCAAAGGACATTGGCGATCATCAAGGCCCATTTGACTCTATCAGCAGTCGTTCTGAAAAGTTCTATTGACGTTTTCCCACTCCGTTGTCTCAAATTCTTCAACCAGGAGGTGCCTCTTCCCCCCGATCCTCTTTTGCCTCCACCTTCCCTTGTATGACCAGCCGCATCAATTCGTATTTCTCGTTTCTTAGTATGTGACCAAAGTAGCTCATTTTTCTTTTCATTATAGTGAGCATTTCTTTATCATTTTTCATTCTTCGTAGCGTTTCCGTATTTGTTATATGCTGTGTCCAAGATATTTTCTACATTCTTCGATAACACTACATTTCCAAGTTAATGAGTTTTTCTCTGTCGCCTCTATAATTGTCCAGACCTCAACTCCATACAACAGGACAGAGAACCCGTAGCATCTCAATACTCTAGTTCTAATTTCAATGTTGAGTTTTCCATTGCACAATAATGCTTTCATCTTATTAAAAGCACTTCTAGCTATCTCAATACGCCGTTTTATTTCCGTACTTCTATCCCATTCTTCATTTAGTTCGCAACCTAAGTACTGATATCTGTGCACCCTGCCTAAAAGTTTTCCATTAACATAAACACTGTCTTCCTCAATCTTGTTCTTGCTTACCACCATGATTTTTGTTTTATTTATATTCAGTGCCATTCCATACCTTTCGCAGTATTGGGTAATGCCATCAACCAAGATCTGTAGTCCTTCTCTGTACGTCTTCTAATTCCTCTTTCAACAATTCTTCTGAATACATATTAAAAAGTAAAGGGGAAAGCACACATCCTTGTCTTACTCCACGATTTATAGGTATTTCTTTCGATTTTTGTTGGTCTATTCGTTAATTGGATTGTTGATGTTTATACATAGATACTAGTGTCTTTGATATTTTATCTGGAAACTATTCTAGGATTTTCCATAATACTCCCTCTATTCTAGTTATATTTTGTAACTAATTATTATTAAGTTTGATATATTAATAAACTGTTTATCTGAGATTAAATAAACTTTTATTTGCAGGTTGAACATGTAACCGAGAACGTCTCCAATTATATAAAATTTACAAAAGACGAAGTATTGGGCAGCAGCATTTATAATTTCATCCATCATGGGGACCACGCTAAATTCCATTCGAGCCTTCTGCCCATGACCATTGAATGGGGCAATGAGCAGCAAGTAAACAACAAATCAAAATCTATAGATATAAGGCTTCTTGTGAAGCCTCCCGATGACCTAGATAAAACCATAGAAGAAAAGCAACAAAGAGTCAGTAGTTACGAGTTGATGCATATATCGAGTACCCAATTAAAAGATCACTTATCGGTATCAGAAGAGGACGGAAGTGACAGTGGTCCGTGTTTGTTGTGTGTCGCGTCTAGGATTTCTCATAGGGACAAAACTACTTGCAGTATAGAACAGTTTACTACAAAATTGGACATTACGGGAAAGGTTATTTGTGTAGATACTTCGGGTTTAACGGATACTTTGGCGCAGTACATCAAAAAGGAACTAAAAAATAGACCGTTGCGGGAATTGGTACCGCAACAGGAGGTGCACAAAGTTACAGCTCATCTTAGAGAAACTCTCAGCTTAGGACAGTCTTCTAGTTCAATCTATAGGTTGCAAATCGGAGCGGACAAGTTGATACAAGTTCAAACTAAGTCAAAATTATTTAAAACCAACCCGCACGCGAACACCGATTCGGATTTTATTATGGCAACACACTCTGTGATTGGGTAAGTAAACACAGTATTATTGTTAATTACAGTAGGGCCTCGTTAATCCGGAGAGACACTTTGCGGATTATCGAGGCATTATCGGATTATATGTAGTACCTTTGCCACATTTAATGGTTATAAAACATATGTTTCTGTAGTCTATTTTTAAATTACAATATAAAGAAAAAATATGCAAATATTCAAAATTACAACCATGTAAAAAACAGTGAGTTCAAATAAAACATTATTTAAACTTTGATAATGTAAAAGACAAATACGAGCACAGTATTAATTTAATCTTGCCCAAGTAATTTCGATCACTAGATCACAGTATAAAGAGGTTCCACAGTAAAACCACTCGTCTGTCGGCGCTTTGATCTCAGGAAGTAATACCGGCAAAGTACGAAATTGGTAATTCACCAGTGGTGGATGCGGGCGGAGGCCGCAGCTCCTTTGGTTAACCTTACACAGCCGTATTAAAACTTTCTGAGCCTACTACTATTATTTATTAAAATAAAAAATGCGGCGTCCCATATTTAACTGTCCGGATGTTCTTACATGTCTCGGGTCTCGGGAAAAAGAAATGTCGGACATAGGATGATTTCCTGGTTGCGAAATTTAAGGCGAGTGGTATGGGTGCAGTCCAATACAGTTGTTCAGAGCTGCAGCCAACAAAGTAAAGATTGCTGTGATGGTAGCCAACCTCCGATAGGAGACGGTACTGCAGGAAGAAGAATATTCTTACTAAATGTTAATATTACAAAAACAAAGAGTTTAATAAATGGAAAACAATATTACAATTCAATGTTTATATTTTTCAACGATATTGCGCAAGTTTTAAACCTTAATGGTTTTTAATATATTGTACACGTCATATAAACGTCAAATAAAAAGGAGGTTAATTTCGAAGCTCTCACGGCATTACTATACTCTGATTTTAAACCAGGAGGAGTAATTCAAATTTACCGCGTCATAACGCTTGTTCGTCCAACGGCAGGCAAGTTTACTCCACTGTTCTGAAATTTTGACATTATTGACATTTATGAAATTTTGTCACTATTTATATTTTGTAGGTTAATTTGGTTATATCGGGGATTTTTGTGTTTTCTGCATTATTCGTTTAGTTTTAGTTGTAGTCTGCAAAAAGTTAATTAAATTTTGCAATAGTCTTTTCATAAAATCAATCGCGTAATGTGCAAGAGTACATCAATTAAAATTCAAACTGCTGAAAAGATAACCATTTATTTTATATAATATGTAAAACATGGTTTTACAAGTAAAACCAAAGCTTAAAATCACCGTAAATGAATGTAAAAAGTTTTTTAATAGTCTCGAGAAGCTATTTATATTTTATGGTGATTTTTAGCCACAAATTTAAATAAAAAATAACTGTCTTGTCTTTCTTATTTTTAACATTTTCAACATTTTTTTAATAAATTAAACGAATATCAACTATTCTAAGTGGGAAATAAGCCACAATTTAACTTGAAAAAATAATTTTATTAACGTTTCGACTTCCAATTCAGACGTCGTTGTCAAAATACAAAAATAAATTAATATTTCGTATTTTGACAACGACGTCCGAACTGGAAGTCGAAATGGTAATAAAATTATTTTTTCAAGTTAAATTGTGGCCCAGCAAAGAACGTGAGGAGCCAGGTCAACAAAGCATCTCCATTGTCAGGATGTCTGCTGGAGATAGTCTAGTCAAATCCATTTTTAAACCATAAGTAAATACAGTGATCAAAGGAGAATGAGTTAATGCGTTTTTAAGAAAATTATGCCCAGTATTATCATCATCATCATCATCAATGGCGCTACAACCCTTCGTGAGTCTTTGCCGCGTTTACTATTGCCTTCCATGTTTGTCGGTCCTGTGCCAGTAATTCCCATTGTCGCACTCCCATCTTCTCTAGATCTTCTCTGACTTCATCTTTCCACCTTTTTCTGGGCCGCCCTACATACCTTCTTCCATCTGGCCTTTCCCAGAACACATTATTTATAAGGCGATTGTCATTACTGCGTATCACATGTCCTGCCCATCTGAGTCTATTGGCCTTTATATATCTGACTAGATTTTCTTTTCCGAATAGAGACTCTAGCTCGCTATTGTATCTGTTATATTATGTTGGCAAATTTATATCAAAATAGAAAAAAACACTATTTCATTTTTTTTAATCAAATATAGTTATCAGAAGATATTTCAGATAGTTGGAGAAAGTACCGGGTGATTCCTATTCTCCCCCTAAAAAAATGAGGAACTTGGACAATATTTGGCAAAATAGCTCTTGAAATAAGTTGCAGAAGAATTTATTATATTATAGAAGAAGTAATTATCAAAAAAATATATTATAAAACTAAATTATGCAATATTATATTATTAACACCGGCTAATACCACTTAGAATTTTACTCATGTTCAACTTCACAATACTAAAAATTATTCACAAAACTAACTCAGTTTAAGCAAAATACGGCACTGTTAACCCGTACGTTTCTACGCGACTAGCAATGGAAGAATGGTTCTCGAGCGACTAAGAAATAAGCGCAGTCGCCCTGCGCGTTGACAGACTTTACTTCCAATTTTTCGGAGAGTGGTTCTACTGTGGAACCTCTTTATACTGTGACTAGATCATCTTCAGGGGCATTTCGTCAATTGCGGCCTATCCGACAAGAGTAGAATGTCATAAATATAAAATGGAACATCACAGTACACTACACAAGGACAAACAAAACATGGTTAGGTTTGTCTTTGTGTAGTGTACAACTTTGTGTAGTGTATTGTGATGTTCCATTTTATATTTATGACATTCTACTCTTGTCAGATAGGCCGCAATTGACGAAATGCCCCTGAAGATGATCTAGTGATCAAAAGTACTTGGACAAGATTATATTAATACTGTGCTCGATATTTGTCTTTTATATTATCAAAGTTCATTTATTCGAGCATTCAACCTTATATCAAAACATTATTTAATCTTTCATGAAAAGTCTGTAATGCTCTTCTATTTATATTTTGCCTACTTTATTCCGATCTCTAAGCCGACATAGAAACATATCTTCGTGACTATCAAATTCGTTTTCTTCGGCCAAGAAAACTCTCGTCTCTTTGAATTTTCCGAGGTGAAAACTACAACGTTATTGTCCTCGTCTTGCTCATCGTTCTCACACATAGCTGTCCGCAAAATCTCCGCAATCAGTTCATATCTCCATACCTTTGTATCTCACTTTCAGCACCACCAGCAGTCCACTTATTTGAGGATCATTGAGTTCCCTTAATCTATTAAAATCTGGGCTAAGATATCATCTTTTGGTTCATCATTATCAGTGAGAAATTCAGTGTGCAAATCTTCCATGATTTGTTAATTAGAGATGCCTTAAATCGGCCCAGCAATTAGCCAAAAGAAAAACTATCATTTAAAGATATAGATTTTAATGTGTCGATGAAGTTGTCAGAACATAATGCAAGACAGTTAACCGAAAGTGATTTGACGTAATTTAACTCCACATTTTGTATAACGTTCTGACCCGTTGGTTGTATACAGGCCGTGGTGTTAGCTGGCAGGAACATTGCAAAAATGTTGCCATCTTCAGAGATAAGTTCATCTGCTGATGGGTGCCCATGACAAATTATCTAACAATAAAAGTGCCCGAGGAGGCAAATTAACAGATAAAAGATGGAAAGGGACCGCGGGAACAAATTCCGTTTTAAACCACTCAAGAAACAAGTCTTATGTATCCCAAGTATTTTTTTTTGTGCACGATAACTAACAGGATGACGTGTTGATTTAAATACACGTGGGTTTTTGATTTTCGGACAACAAGCAATTTAACAAGCACAGAGATGCTTAGACATGAACCAAGAAAAAATTTACGCCTGCTTTATTGATTTCTAAAAGGCGTTTGACAAAGTACAACATGAACCACTAAGACAAGTTCTAATAAAGAAAAATATAGACAGCCGAGATATTCGAATTATATGCAATCTATATTGGAATCAAACAGCAAATGTCAAGGTTGAGGGCAGACTAACAGAAGAAATTCAAATCCGTCGAGGAGTCCGACAAGGATGTATATTATCGCCACTTTTATTTAATCTATATAGTAAAGCTATCTATTAACAAGCACTCGAGGAAGATCTTGGTCTGATAATAAATGGTGAGACGATCAAGAATATAAGGTATGCTGACGATACAGTTCTCCTAACGGGAACGCTAGTAGAACTACAACATCTCGTTCAAAGTCTCAATATATACTGTAACAGTTACGGCTTGAAAATTAATTTAAAAAAAACTAAATTTATGGTAATCACGAAATCAAAGAACATCAGAGCTAATCTTGTAATAGACAATACAACGATTGAGCGTGTGCCCTGTTATAAATATCTAGGTGCTTGAATCACAGACGATACTGATCAAACAAAAGAGATTAGATGTAGAAAAGAAATCGCTAGATCAGTCTTTAATAGAATGCGCAAACTCTTTTGCAATCGTGATATCAATATAAAGTTACGAATACGAATGCTGCGGTGTTATGTATTTTCTACCCTGTTATATGGAGTTGAGGCTTGGACACTAAAACAGTTGACCATAAAAAACATCGAAGCTTTCGAGATGTGGTGCTATAGGCCCATTCTCAGAATATCATGGATGGACCGCGTCACTAACACGCAAGTACTCCAAACTTTAGACAAAAGATGCGAAATTCTAAATGAGATAAAAAGTAGAAAGATGGAATACTTGGGGCACATTGTGAGAGTGAAAAGTACGAACTTTTAAGAAACATCATGCAGGGCAAAAGAAGTGTGGGAAGAAGAAAAATATCGTGGCTTCGTAATCTACGTGAATGGTTCGGGTGTAGTTCGATTGAACTTTTTAGGCGCGCTGCTAACAAAGTCGTAGTGGCCATGATGATTTCCAATCTCCGCTAGGATTGGCACGAGAAGAAGAAGAAGAAGCAATTTAAGTTTATAGGTTGCAGCCGTATTTGCACAAGGCATGGAATGTCATTCTCATCTTC